ACAGGTTTATATGGTTCATTTCAGCTTCAGCGACCATGAAAATCTTGTTTTTAAAGTTTTTAAACAACTCTCCCCTGAAAATGACGCTGTTAATGCATTGTTCAGTCAACATTGTTCGCATTTGTTGACATAAAAAATCGCGGATGATAACAAATTTATTTCTACTGATCCAGCAATGTTGTTAAGTCTTTTTATTTGAACAACTGCCAACATCAATGTTTCAACAATATTGTTGACAAGCCTTGTTGACAGGGTGCAGCACAATTTTGCAGCATATTTTATCAACAATGTTGAACAACGTTAATGTTACCTAGGAACAACATGATGATTTTTACGCGTGGAGTCATCTTCATTTTATTTTTTTGTTGACTCTGAAAATAACTACCGCTAAGCTTGTCGGAACGTCAGTCAACATCAACAACAACAGTCCTTCTCAGCACTCTTCTAACCTGGACGATCTTTATCTACGTACAAACAAGTATCGATACTCCCGGGTTCAAACGATTTACTTTATAAAAATATTGTCACAATAAGCGTGAACCATAAGAATGAAAGAAAAAGTTGTTTTCGCCATTGTTCTAACAATTGAAAACAGCACTTTTTTGAATGATTTTCAATAAAAGTCATACATTCAGAATATCAAGAAATAGTTGAAACTTTATATTTCGAACCAATTTAGAACTCTTAAGCAGAATTTTACACAAGGTGTCAGTGTGAGAGATGCAATAGTTTTAGTTCAGCATACTTTGAAGGGGACGCTTTTGAATTTCAATATTTAAGGGCCCATTAAATCTAACACTTTAAATCGATTCGAAATGGATTCGAATCTGTATGAGGGTTAATGTGAAAGCTTGTAAGTGATGCAAAAATGAATTCGATCCGAACTAATTTGGACCACTTCAAAAGGTGGTCTCGAATCGGATTAGTTTGGTCTGCATGATAGTGAGAACATGCAGCTCGAATAGAATCAGATCAATATTGATCAATCACAAGTTTATAGCTTAGTAACAAGACTTTTTGCGTGGTCACACACATCACGTTTTCTTTTTGCTATGTTTGCTTGCAGCAATATTATTTTACAGTTTTTATTATCAGCAAAAATTTCGCAACGCGAAGAAACCTGGACTGATCAAGAAGTGATGGCACTGATTTTCATTTGGGGGTTGTTGTGTTTTATATTTCACTGATGAGTATGTTACAACTACTAGTTAGTACAATTTAACCACTATAATTAAGACTAGACTACCTGCAATGTAGGGATTGCTGCGTGTATTTTACGACCCAAGTAGAGTGGTATGATCTTTTGTTGTTTTATTTATAGTAGTAACCTTTAATTGGTGATAAACAAACATTAAAAAAAATCTTTCTTAAAAGAATGATTGATATTTGCACCTTGTATGTCCAACATCAGTCAAAAGACTCACAAGCTATTTGCTATTTTTCATATTTAGAACTTCAACTTATACATCCACCAAGCACTGCTTGATAGTGGAAACCATATGCATGTTAAATGTACCTTGAACTTAAATTTAAAATAGGAGAACCATAAAGAATCAATTATTTTTATAAAATTTGTTACATAAAAAATAAATTCAACATAAGTATTCACATAAATGTCAGAACTAAACAAAGAAGATGGAACAAAAATATCATTCTAAGAAAGAGTGTGCGTCATCTCCAAAAGGGGAGATGACGCTCAAAACATGAATAAATTAAAAACATAATCCTTTTGTCGGCTGAGGACGGGATTAGTTAACTTAATTAAAACAGCCTCCATGACGCGTAACTGAAAAAATGAACGGCATTTCTTAATGATTCTAAAATTGTCGTCTGAATAAGAATCAGCACAATGGGAGTTACTCAAGAGATGTTTACCTATTGCGGAGTCACATGAGACTAAATTACTTTCCTTACAAACACGTTTTGGTTGTTGTCTTGAGGGGACCGTTCCATTTTAGAATGAAATTGGTACATGCTGTTTCATCCTATCACCTACCTAACCTTTGAGACGTTTTACCTACATAGCGAGCATCACACTCACATTTATATTCATAAACTACATTGCTTAAAAGTTCTTCAGGTAAAGATTCTTTGGAGGTGGGTTGTAGAATAGTTTTTTTCGAAAATATAAAGATAACGTTACTCGCGAAAAACAAGTACTCTGTAATATTCTTAGTTTCCCTCTCAATATCATTAGTAGCCTTACAAAAAATGAGCAGGAGAAGCTTTTTCGACCAGCTAAGTGCCCTGTGTTTATCAAACTTTCATGTATGGGTAAGGCCTCTAATGATATCTCTACTCTCGTCCTCTGCCAACGAAAAGATTATGTTTTCAATTTATCCCTGTTTTGAGCGTCATCTCCCCTTTTTGGAGATGACGTACACTCTTTCTAGGCATTATAAATATCCGTAGATTTTAAATTTTCATTTAGCGGACGTTGACACCTGAGGAGAAGTATGCCAAAATGCATAGTGTCATTTAGTTTCATAACAGTTTTTTTTAGAACTGTTGGGGGTTAGTGTTCCGTGCTTAAAACAGTTCTTTTTAAGAACTATTAACTTATTACTTTTTCCATTCACCATGGTATTTGCGATCTTTAAAACGATTTTCAAATATCATTTTCTGAGTTATCCTTTAAGTAATCTTTTTACATGCTGACGTCTCTTCTTATCTTTTTCCAAAACTCAAATTAAAAGTCATCGCTTTAAAAGAATTATCAGTTAGCTAGTACTCCTTGCTTTTTTTAGCGTCAGCTTTCTTTTCGTAACTCTGTCATTATAAACACTGCATATCAGCTTGATTTAGCTGATGTACCGGTCGCCTTATTAGGTTGCTGTTACGTTCACTCACTTAAGCTCGTTCGCTCAGCAGCAATAGTGTGTTTGAACGTGACGTCACAGCTTTTCTGTTCGCCTTTTAGGTCCCAGTATCATAGTAAGCGACTTATGATTTGTGATTAAAGAAAAAGGTCTTATATATAAGTACTGATTAAACTTCTTTAACACAGAAATAATGGCAAGGGCCTCTTTCTCAATCATAGAATAGTTTTGCTCACTAGAAGAAAGTTTTCTCGATCCATAAGCTATTGGTTGTTCTTCTCCTCCGTCCAAAACATTCCATAGAACAGCACCTATTCCACAAGATGATGCATCTGTCGCTATTCTCACGGGTTTGTTGGGGTCGTAATGTGTTAATACTGGTGCCGTTTGAAATATGAATTTTAAAGTCTTAAAGATTTCTGACATTCTTCAGACCATTTCCAAGTAACTTCTTGTGACAGTAAACAATTCTTGGATTGCAACCAACCTCCAGAGAATTATCAACAATGTGGCTCGCCCACGACGGCTGGGGCCTACAATAGCATTAATATAATGTTCTTTTGTATTTCACCACCAACATGGCGACCAGGACATAACATGGAATCCTCTTATTCAGAGGATTAACCAACTTTGCCATATTTGAATTAAATTTACGATAATAGTTCATTAGACTTAGAAATGACTTCAATTCTCTTAGATTTTCGTATGCATTTTGCAGACAATACCTTTCTCCACACATTTTCTAGCATAATTGATACCACAGCTCCCGTGTTCACTCCATATTTACTGATTTTCTATCAATTAAGACTGATACTTCCATCTCTTTACATTTCTTTCCCGAATCAGTTAACGTGAACACCGGCAATGTTTCCATAGCTTCTTCTTGACTTTCGCCGTCACTGTCAACGTTGCTGTGTGTTTTAACGTTGTGAAGTTCGCTAGATTTTTTTAGCATCTTTCCTTCTTGACTTTTCAACTTTTGTAATCTTCATACTATTGTAGCCATCTCTCTTGGGACACGTCTTTAATATATTTCCATAAATATAACGGGGGTCTGAAGAATTACAAAGAAACTAAGTAATACTCATAAAACCCATATATTTACAAAAAAGTAAACAAAAAATTGAAGGCGTGGAATGCCAGATGCAAATTGCTATACGTTTTTCAACTTGAACGGACTCTCTTAATCGAGTGTTTTACAATGGCTTCTTGTTAGTGGAATTCAAAATCGTCTTCGTACCGATGCATTTAAATAAGTTTGCATTCTTTTGATTAAAAGTATTGCAGCATTTTTTCCAAATACAGTCAAATTTTTGGCTGTTTTTTTTTTTTTGCATTCTTTGGGTATTCCCGTAAAAGTATGCCAATGCAGTAATATCCGCAATTCCTATTTGTTAAATATTGTTTTATCAAAGATTCAAAGATAGTTTAGGAAACGCGCCAAAGGTAATGTCAATCATGTGAGTAGTTAACGTGCAGGTATGGTCCCGGAAGTAACAGGAGCTCTTACCCGTGTTAATCAGTTTCCAGACCTAGGAAGTAAACCGGAAAAAAGATAAAATGAACGAAGGTGGCTACAGGATGACATGATTAATTGGAAACACGATAAAACTTAATTAAAATTCTCAATTGTTTTCTATTCTTAAAGTAATATTAGATCAATTTTCTTGTTTCCTTTGCGAATATAAAAAAGGAGAACACGTTACAATTTTAATGAGTTAAAGTTACTACCTAATTTTTGTATAACTAAAACGAAATGCTTTAAAAGTTGACATTGGGCAGGCAAAGAGAGTGAAGGAATCGTCCTTCGAGTTTGACGATGAGAGCAATGTTTTAGATGAACGCCAAAGCAATATACAAAGTAAACTGTTAAAGTGCTATGCTACTGAAATTGGTTTTAAAATACACAAAATTGTGCCAAAAGACTGTGACTGCTGTCGTGATCATCCATCCCAAAGGCGACATGAATGTTTGATGATGCCGAATGATGAAAGGGTACGATATTCTTTGATGATGCAGTATCAGAAATTGATGAGGAAGAAGTCATTAAAGCCTTCTTTGATAGTTTACAAGACATGACTCCGATGGTAAATGGGCTAGTACTTATCAAGTACACTTGCAATGATTGGAGAAAAATACTTTTGACAGAAAAAAAGAACAAATTAGAAAATGAGACGTTGATATTCTTAAATAAATTTTATTGACTAAAACATTTTATTCAAAGAAACTAGCAACGACCACTCTGAAATAAAAAGAAATCAATCTTACTGACTGTTCTACTGTATCAATGTTCAAAAGATAAAAATTTTTAAAAATACATACTGAAAAAAATCTTCAAGAAATCTATCCACCTCTTCATCAAAACAACTAGAATATAAAACAAGTGGACTTTATGTCCGCAATGACCTAAAATAATGAACAACATCACAACTTAAATTTGCTAAAGTCATATCAAACATTGAAATAGAATTCCAATTCAACTTACTCAAAATGTGTCTAATTGTTTGCGGAGTAGCCATTCCTTTAGGTTCACACTGACCTAAAATAATGAACAACATCACAACTTAAATTTGCTAAAGTCATATCAAACATTGAAATAGAATTCCAATTCAACTTACTCAAAATGTGTCTAATTGTTTATGAGTAGCCATTCCTTTAGGTTCACACTGACCTAAAATAATGAACAACATCACAACTTAAATTTGCTAAAGTCATATCAAACATTGAAATAGAATTCCAATTCAACTTACTCAAAATGGGTCTAATTGTTTATGGAGTAGCCATTCCTTTAGGTTCACACTGACCTAAAATAATGAACAACATCACAACTTAAATTTGCTAAAGTCATATCAAACATTGAAATAGAATTCCAATTCAACTTACTCAAAATGTGTCTAATTGTTTGCGGAGTAGCCATTCCTTTAGGTTCACACTGACCTAAAATAATGAACAACATCACAACTTAAATTTGCTAAAGTCATATCAAACATTGAAATAGAATTCCAATTCAACTTACTCAAAATGGGTCTAATTGTTTATGGAGTAGCCATTCCTTTAGGTTCACACTGACCTAAAATAATGAACAACATCACAACTTAAATTTGCTAAAGTCATATCAAACATTGAAATAGAATTCCAATTCAACTTACTCAAAATGGGTCTAATTGTTTGCGGAGTAGCCATTCCTTTAACTGCTGGTTCTGTTTGATGATGCCTTTGCCATTTAATGATGACTTTGCCTGAGAATTTGAGTACTTTTATGTGGCAAAATGAACAAATGTGAAAGTCTTTCAACGTGCATATGAAACTGCAGTAGAGCACGTAGATCAAAAGCATACAACTTAAACCAGAAATTTTATTAAAAATTATAGAACACGAACACAGAAATACACACAATAAGACAGCTTTTCTTCATCAAATGACCACAAGATCTATGAATACTGATTCGAGCTGATTTCCACAATTTCTTTTTACTATACAAATGTGAACAAACCCATGAACATCATATGATGTTCTAAATTAATATTTCAACTCTTGTTGAATTCAATACTGAGATATAAAGAAAACTAGGGATCCAAGAATAGTGCAAAGTTTCAAAAAACATTGCCTTTGACTTGTAATTTGAATCAACTATAAAATGCTTCATGAATTTATCTCATTTTTCCATTAACTTCTATCTAATTTTAATTCATGTAGCTAGCATGAGTCAATCATCAATTGACTTCATTGTAAATAAAAACATTTTTTTAATAAAACCTATCACAAGCCATAGTCCACGTAAAGAACCAGTTGTTGTCTTGCTGTTAACAGTTTACACAATAACTTATTTTAAATTTGTACACGGTGTAAAGTCTATGAACTGCCTACTTTGCTTTTACGTATAAAGAAGGACATTAGGCCAACAACGGTCATTGATATATGTTTGTAAATGATGATCGTCCAGGTTAATAAAGTCCTGAGAAGGACTGTTTTTGTATTTGTTGACTGACGTTTCGACAACCTTAGCGGTAGTCATCTTCAGAGTCAAATGAAGTCTTTATTAACCTGGACTTTATTAACCTGGACGATCATCATTTACAAACATATAACGATACTCCCGGGTTCAAACCATTTACTTTATAACGGTCATTGAGATAATGAGTTTTAAAATGCATTTGTTGAAACAAACTGAAGACAGACAGACAACATACAGTACCGCTCGCGTATTTGTTAACATAATTTTGTGTATGATACGCGTATGATACGCGTATGATACGCGTATCGTTCTTGTATCATACGCGTATCGCTCTCGTATCATACGCGTATCATTCACGTATCATACGCGTATTGCTCTCGTATGATACGCGTATCGTTCTCGTATCATACGCATATCGTTCTCGTATCATAGGCGTATGTTTTTCGTATCATACGCGTTTCAAATACGCGAGCGGTACTGTACATAGCCAATAGCATATGACTGACATCAGCACAGTCTACTCAACCAACTACTAGAGCTCATACAAATGAACTAGATCTCCTTGCACTGCACTAAGAGTAATTAGCTCACTCTGTCACAATTTATAAGACATGTTATTTGAGCATGGGCAGTACACTTCACTAACTACTCGAGTACACAGTCGTGGCATTAAACAACTGAATTTACTTGCATCGATTTCAAAGTATCTAATCAGTAACAAATTATTGGAGAAATCATGTGAGCATTGACAGTTAAATGAATTGACTGAGAAACTGTCCAAGTTTACGTATGGCCATGATAACAGCCACCTAGTTTTATTTGCATATTGCTCGGTAGATCATGAATTATAAATAAATAATCTGAGCATATGCAGTTGGCTGGACAAACTGTCTGAAATTTTACCACAGTAGATGTTATAAATTATGAGGTAAATACACTGAGAGAAACATTGTACCTATAATAGCCTGGCAAGAGGAACAAAGCCATTGCATTTATTGCTATAAGAAAATTGCTTACTAACCTTTAACCTTCTTTGCTTCAGTTGGGGCTGATTTAAGTTTCACATTAAGATCCTCCTGGTGTTTGTTGACAGCATTAAATAACTTTGCAACTGCAAAAAATTGCTTATCTCAATATTTTGATCACATTGTGTCAAGGTCTTAATTTGCTGTAAATTTGCAGCAAAACAAATGTAGGCCAATGTAGCTACATTAGGATTAATGATATTGGATAACAGCTATAGATGAACTGCACTCATTTGCTGTAACTTTATTTGCAATTAAAATGGAGGCTGTACTTCAACATCTAAATTCCAGATTATCGGAGGATCCTACTTAGTTTTCAATAACATTTCACTAAAATTTCAACTGGAGGCTACGTATTTAGGATTATATGCAGGATAAGTTTGAATAAAGTGATAGTTTATTCAAGTACAGTTTAATTGAATAAACTACAAAACAAACCTCCTTTAGTAGCAATTCTCTTTAAGTTTCTTTCTTTCTCATCATTACTAGGTGCTGGTTTCACGTGATTCTTCTCTCTTGCTTCATGTTTTTCTCGGGTGATGAACTGTAATGATAAAATGTTGATGAAAGACTAAACTTGAGTATTAATAGTGTGTTCAAAGATGTTTTTGTAAAATTTAGAATTAGATAATTCAAATATATTGAAAAAGATTTCAGCAACTCATTAAATATGTTCATGCAAGAACCTGGGTGAAATAAAAATGCATCACAATGCTTTGGCCTCTGCTTCATAACATGAATTTTGTCTCCTTATTATGATGAAAATAATCACAAATTTCAATAATTTTTTTCCAATGTTTGCAGAGATATTCTGAATGTATAAATGCAAAAGCTTCTCAGATATTGTGCTTGAGCATAGACACATTGTGTTTAATATCATAAACACTTTTAATAAAATCCACCAGTTTTCATTTTTACATTTAAGTTGGGTTTTTGCTTTTCAATAATAGAGTAATTATTTTTATCCAATTTACATTATTTATTGAGTTATTGCCTATTCCTTCGAAAAATACTGATATACATGGAAATTGACAGAAAACACCATCAGTTACAGTCCAAATATTTAAATAATCCAATCATAAATCTGACATACATACATGCAAAACAAAATTAGCTCCAGATATAGCTAAGAGCTGTAGCAATTAATTCCTCTAGAAACAATTAATATATGTACCACATAGTACATGTGACAATGTCAGCAAACTTTGGACTCATATAAAAACATAAACATTGATTCCTAAAAAGCTTCTAAGTCATTCCATATAATATAAAGTGAGACCTGTCTACAAGGCTGGAATTTTTAATTAAAACACTAATTGAAAAAATTTGGTATATAGATAGTTGACAAAAGAACAAAATAAATATTGTAAGTTAAATTTAACTAACCTTATAGTTAAATTTAACTTACAACCCCAAGCCACAAGATCCAACAGTTGCACCAAATATGTTTTTCATCAGAACCCCCTCAATCAATATTGGATTGACACCCATGGTACACTATAAAATTATTGGGTGACAGCAATGGGCCTGGCCAAGCAAAAATGTACCTTTTGTCTTAATATTTCCTCCTGCTTTTGCGTCCTTTCTGTTTCAATTTTCTTGTATTTGCTCAATACTACTGGCTAAAAAGCAAGTTAAAAGGAAAAGTAGAGACAACAATTTAAAGTTCATTCAGCAGTATCACAATGAGTTGCTATAATTCATATGTTTACTGTTACCAGTGAGGTGCCAGGCAGGAAAAGGATTCTCAATAAAAATATTAGAGCCAAACAGATAGTTTTTAAAGTAGCCATAAGAAATTTGGTCCTAGTAAATTTAACAAAACCAAATTTCTTATGGATATTTTGAAAATCATATACTTTATACCTTGTCTTCTGGTATTCCTTTGATCGAAATCCTCGCCATGGCATCAGCCCAACCATAATTTCCATCTTTTGTACCTATAAATACAAAACACAAATGGCATAAAGAATGACAGTGCAAAAACATGATATCCAGGGGCAGATCAGGATAAGTAAGAATACATTTCAGCACATTATTTTAAATTCAAAACACCATAGGAATAATTCTGTTGTTTGAAAAATTCCAATGAATATTTTGAAGAAAAAATTTTACAAATAGGATTGTCTATAGAGTATTTTGAAATTTAATTATAATTATTTTAAGGTATTCTGACTTCCAACTATCCGAGATCCGCTACTGATGATAGAATCTCTGTAACTATTGATTCACATAACTATGTTCATATTAAGTTCCCAACGCATTTAAGGATAATTTTAAGAAGTTTTAAACCCTAGCACGGGAAAAAAGATCCCAAGAAAGCTTAAATCGATGACAAAAATGTACCTGGCAGGCTCAGGCTGTTGGAGAAATTAATATGCTTATTTTATTTAACCTATCGTAATGATAAAACAAAATCTCCTCAATTTCAATTCTTTGTAATACCGCTGTAAGTATCGTCGTCGTTACTGCTACAGTTTTTATTTTCATGAATATTCGTGTTGTTTGCTCCATATTGCATGAGTTTTTCTTGGACTGCGCTGGAAGCCATTTTGCATGTAACTTAGACTTTGCTTACACAAAGTAATGGTAAAATCAACTCCTAAAGACTGATTCCACTGGAAGTTGTTGAGGATTTTAAAATTACATTAACAACATTGTTGGATCAGTTGGATCAGATAATTTCATAAGAGGTTTTTATTTATATGCTTACAGACTTCAATGTTCTATTGGAGTATAAAACGGGCTCAGACCTTCTCTGTTCTCTCAGTTTTCAACACTAAAATATGTCACTTGGGTTATAAAAAGTTTGCTTTGGGGGTGATATACATTTGTATTACGTAAGGAAAATTGTTACAATTACTCGGATGTGACTTGTATGAAAATACTATATCTTATATTCAAACCTTTGACACTCATACATTATCATTTTGAAGAGCTACCATTGATACAATGAGATTGTTGTTCGTTGCTGTTAAAAACTTAAAACACGTTGCTGTTAAAATGCTTTTCATCTTTATCCAAAAGCACGCATCATAAATTATAGATCAATAACTTCAATTCAGGGAATTTCTAGTTTGGAGATCACTATGATTAAAATTTCCATACACAGGAAAGTCTTCACAGCCCTATGGATTTTGTACTAAAAGGTTTTATTTTCAAGAAGAAAATTTAAGGTTATGTAAAATTTAGGTTAAGCCATACACTTGTTAAATACACAAGTAAATACCTAATGTCATTGATAAAAAAAAATAACATCAAGCAGAACATTACCACCATTATCTTTGTGGCTTACATTCTTACTGTTTTACAAATAGTGCAGTGTAGTAGTGTAGTGCTTGAAATGCTCAGAAGCATTCAATTTCAACACAACAATAAACTTCACTTTACCTCAAGCTTTCTCAAAAATTTTTGGAATAATTCCAACTTGATCAATTACTTGAGTTCGGAAATTCAATTCATATGTGATGAGTGAGTTTTGTTTGATTGAAAGATATCCTTATTTCGAAAAGTATCGGCTCTTTAAAAACATACATGTTATGATCAATTGTTATGGCTTCAAGTTTACACAAAAGTACATACATACAAATAAGTATTTTTTGTAGGTTAGCAACAAATCAGACAAAACTTTTGTTTCAAAACAAAGTCTAAGTAAGTTTGTTAAAGCGACTCAGATTTTATACATTGTTGGCTTTCTTTCAATTAACTTCACCTGCAGCATACAGCGAAGATATGTGTATATATATATATATATACGTATGCAATAAAGCTGAAAAAATGGATATATTAATTTTGTTTGCCATGAAGTTTTTTGTGTTAATGATGATGACGACCGTAGAATAAATAATTTCATAAACTTATAATATTTGTTTTATTTTAGGATGACCAATTGTGTTCGACACTCCAACTTTAAACACTACAAACAGCTCTTTTTGTCCCCTCGTTAACGTTTTATCCCCATCATCCGCATTTTATCCCTTAATCCGCATTTTATCCACTCATCCGCACTTTATCCCCTCATCCGCGTTTATCCCCTCATCCTCGTTTTATCCTCTCATCTGCCATCCGTATCCGCATTTTATCCTAACCCCTGATAGAACTCGTAGGAGTTGCTGCATTGTAGATTAACACTTGACTATGTGGTTAGGATAAAATGCAGATACGGATGGCGGATGAGGGGATAAATTGCGGTTGAGTGGATGAAAAGCGGATGAGTGGATGAAGTGCGGATGAAGGGGTAAAATGCGGATGGGGGGATAGAACGTTCATGAGGGGATGAAATGCGACAGTTAATTTACTCGACCCAGTCTTTTTACGCGACCTATATAATGGTGAAATCTCCATTTGGCGTGTGTCTGTTAAGATTTTTCCCTGGCACGACGTCACAATTTAGAAAATTTTTTTAATGTGGAGGAGTGGATAATAAAAATGTTAAGTTACGCACGCATGTTTTTTTCTGTTGATAAACATTTGTAACGAACGTAAAGAAAATTTGCAAAGAATACTAATTCTAGTAGTAGTATGTTTTATCAACGGTTGCATATTTGCATCGAGGCGATTCACTTGGGTAGAAACGCAATGTGCTTTCATGTTATCATCGGAACTTTTAACGGCACGATTATTTTACTGACCGCATGGTGGACAAGAGTACATCTAATGTGTTATTACAAGTAGACAATACATAAGTAAAAGCTCTCAATAGTGACTTTACAGTCCCAGAGCCAAGAAATGTTTCATGTAGTATAACTTTTGAGCATCTCAAATGATTTTCGCTTGTATGTGTAATGTGAGGGCCAAGAAAAGTATTGAACTGAGAGTTGAAGTAGAGCCAATTATGGAAGGGTATGTATCAATTTGATAACCACAACATGACCTTAGAATAGACTGACACGCACATACCATAATTATACAACTATAAATATTTCGGCTTCAAAGCTACTTGACCACAACGTCCACAGGAGTTTTAGACGAATAATAAATTTTAACAGGACAGGTCAACTAATGAACTAGCAGGGAAGTTTTGCTTTTCATATGTTAAACTCATTTGATCATCACTCTGTTGACTCTGTTCATTTACAGACAAAAATTTCGTTCGATTTATCCGTGAAGGACGATTTTACTCTTCACACATCGTTTGTACGACAAATGACGATATAGTATTTATCTAATAACTAGCTATCCAAGGATAGTGCAAAGTTTCTTAGAAAAAATGATCTTAATCATAGCAAATTAGTTTCAAGAAAGCTTATTATCGAACCTTGGCGTTTCAAAAAATGCTAAACTGAAATTCATTTCGAGAAGTGCTTATCAAAGGCTAAGCAGTTTGTTTTTTGACAAATAGTTACAACATGCTGAAAGATTGCGTGAACAAACAAACGTTAACTTGTATGCGCACTTAGGTAACTACGGTGGCCTATAAGTGTTACCGCAATTTATGTCTGCGATGTTAGCTTGACAACATTCAAAGTACATGGTGAAATTACAAATGCACAGCAAATTTTAGAAATTAAGGACAACATTTCAAAAGCCCATGGCAACATTTGAATACAAAAATCTTATGGCAACATTTGAAATTCTTACGGTGGAAGAAAATTGAAGAAGTTATATCATTGAGTTGGATTGGATTAGCCAGATTAACTTCCATAAAATTTAAAATGGCCGAAAACATTATAGAATACGATGCCGCCGATGAACATGAAAATCTTGAACAAAGCAATGAGGAAGAGATCATTCGTTGCTGTTTCCTTAGAGGATTTCAATACAAAGAAATTCTTAACTTCATAAAAAAAATATCATGGTAAGCAAATTAGCATGAGTACATTGAAGCGAAGAATAAAACATTTTGGTCTTCAACGAGAAAACAGCAATTGTGATATGTACGCGATGCAGTTCGTGTGGAATTAGACGCTGTCGGAGTTTGCCGAGGTTATCGTTTAATATTGCATACCCTTCAAATGAAGGGAACAACTGTACCTAAGACGTAAAAACATAACATTGATTTCACCTTTCTCTGATCATATATTCAAGATAAAATAATCAATTTTTCCTCTTTAATGTGCATGTTATACGATTGATATACATGCTAAAGTTGATAAGTACTACTAGAGAAACATGATGGTCAAAAATTTTTTTGTTTCCTCGATGGACGCATGAAAAAATTACAATTTTTGAAGTGGGTACATGACCTAATTTGACGAAAGCCATAGGTTGATTATGTTCACACCTTAAGCAGCATGACGGAAGTTAACACAAGCTTACCAGATTCTTTGCTAAACGTCTTCAAAGTTATGTCAAACGTTTTAATTTTGAAATAATTTTAGACAAGCGTAATATATCATAAAATGAGCGGAAATTTACTACAGCAAAAATAAGGCAGAAATAATATCTTACAGAAACTGTAATCCACAATAAAAGCGTACGATGTACAGCAACAACGGCACCAGAACTGCATGCCATGGTCAAAACAAAACTCGTACATTATCGTCACGAAACAGACCAGTTGAGCTGTCAAAAAAGTTATTATGCGCTCATATGGCGAAAGTCAAGTATCAATAACACTGTCTGTCGTACCAGGAGATCGACGCAATAATCTGTAACTGCATAAATTAAGTCATCACGCCCGTTTTATGTGAATATCGCACTGCATGTTGGGTCCACACTTTTACCCAAAATGCTTTTCGTAAGCTAAAATCTAAAATTTTGCTAGCTGTATGTTTTAGGCTTGCTGCCTTGCTCGCTCACTTAAGGCTCGCTCGCTGAGGCAGAAAATACTATGCAGTACACAACATATAAATTACGAAATAACTCACGATTTTCTTTTTTTGTTTCGGTTATGTTGTATTTTTTTATTCTTCTGATACATATGTGAAGTTCATGTTTTCAGAATAACAAAATGCTTTGTTTGCGATACTTTTTAGTTCTAAATTCCACCTAATTAAATAATAAGGCACCGTGCAATAAAATGCAACGATGCTCAACAAATATTTAAATAGTACAATTTGCATCAGTTGATGAACAAGTCAAGTTTTTGGCATGTTTGCATGACTTTAACATTCATTTCGTATTTGCACTTTCACAGAAATAACATGAAAGTCGACCAAGTCATACAGTCGTATACATGACTTTTTTATACTGTTCTAAAGCAATCCACAACTATTGCTTTCTTCAATGACTGTAATAGTGCACATTAATTCTTGTAAATGTTCCTTACCGAGGCAAATACGTGCGCAACTTTCAATTTTACTCTCGTATGTTAAAGATCAATTCACCAACACGTCGTGTATGAGTGTAGTTAGACCAGACGTTCAGAGCAGGTTGCTAAATAAGCAGCGCTAGCCAAGTACTTGGCAAATACGGCAATACGGCAAATACCAATATTCTTCGAAATACTATATAAACTCGAGCTTAAAAAATCTTCCAAATATTTGTCAATAGTGCCAGTATTAACGAAAAGCGTTATAGTTAAAGCAAATTTTTTTGGATTTCGGAATATTCTATTTCCCTTATTTCACTCTTGCTACACAATTCATTATACAGCTCGCAACTTCGCACAAAAATGGCGCATGCGC